AAATAAAGCGCTGACGTTCATCGCTGGGATGAATTCACCGTTGTGAGAGTGCTGTCACCACCCCATCCATCCTTAAAATATTTCTTCGTGACGAAGAAATAATGAATCCTAAAGTGAATCCTAAAATAATGCCTAAGTTTTTTGACGAGCCCCCTTTGCAGTACCACAAAACACCACTCTGGCTCCATCCTTTAAGCCTTTTTGCAGCGTCGTTTCGGGTACCTGCCATCTATTTTCTCAGGTTGCCTTTTTTTTGATGCAGGTGAAGAACAAAAGCCTAAATCTGGAAAGAAACCCCAAAACACTCCAGCGGTGGGTGAGCTCAACCTTGCTTAAAATATTTCTGGGCCAAGGAGCAAAGAGGTGAGCTCCTTGCTTTTGCTCAAGGACGTAAAGCACTCTATTAGACTTTTATGTGATGCTGTGTAAAATACTGCGACAGTGGAATATGTTGCATTTTTGCAGCCCAGCGGTGGCTTACGGGATGGTCCATCCTTCCCGCCATAGAATCATAGAATCATAGAATCATTGAGGTAAAGACCTCTAAGATCCTTGCATCCGTGCATCCTTGCATCTGTGCATCCTTGCATCCTCGTATGTGTTCATCCATGCATCCGTGCATCCATGTATCTGTTCATCCATGCATCTTTGCATCTGTGCATCCTTGCATCCACGCATCCATGCATCTGTTCATCCTTGCATCCGTTATTCCATGCGTCCATGCATCCATCATTTTTGGTCATGTACCTCTGACCGTAATTACACACAAATTTCATTTAAGCACCCAAGAATTTGTTTTTCATGTGAAAAAAACCCCAAATCCAAATATTTTCCCTCGAGCCTTTATAGGAATCAGCGTAGCCCAGCAAGAAGCAGCTTTTCGTATCTCCCTCAAATGATGGAAAAATGTGCTTTTCCACCCCAAAGCTGGCACTAGGATTTCGGTTTTGGGGACCCATGCAGCATGAGCCCCCCCAAACCTGCATCCGCCTGTGCTGCGAAAGCCAAGCAGGTCGTCTTTAAGAGCTTTTTCTGCAAACCCTTTCCTGTTATTCCCCCATCCGAGGATGGATAGAGGCAGCATCGGCAAATCTGAATAACTAATCAGAGTCCTCATTAACCCCCCGCCGAGATGCTCAAACATTCACTTTGCTGTTTGTGAAGCAGAAAAAAAAAAAAAAGGAAAAGGGAACCCCCCCCCACCCTGCATTAAAATTGATGTGTTATTAATCCCACTGTTCCAGACCTCATGGGTACCGAATTTTCCTCCATCTCGCCTGAGGCCGAACAGTATGGTGCCACTTCTCCGGGGCACTTTGACTTTCCATTATTTATTGGTGTGGCGTAGGGAGGCAGCTTTTGTTCCCCGGGCCCAGATGTGCGCACATGTGCGCGTCCGGGGGTGGGGGTGTCCGACATTTCCATACGTGCCCCCTCTGGATAATGCAAATCGCCTGTAGCGGGGCTCCACTGATGGACTCGTCTCTCTCGGACCCTGTTTTGCGGCGAAACGGCTTTGCTTCTGCAGAAATGCAGAAATAATTACGCGTGTATGGGCACATCTTAAATCTTTTCACTCTCTCTGAGGATGGGGCTAGTGCTTCGCCAGGTTTAACTTGCGGGACTGGGGAGGTGGAAGGATGAAAATACCATATTGGTCTTTGCACCTTCGAGCATCCCCACCTTGCAGCCCCAGCCCTTGCTCAGAGGCTGGAGATGCTGCAGAAATTGCACCGTGAGGGGAAAAAAACCCAGTAAATCAAAGGGGTTTTTGCAATGTTCCTCATTGCAGATGGCAGCGGGTGTTGCCAAAGCGCTTGGAGAGTCGTGATCGCCCCTTGGAGCTCCTTAAAGAGTTACACTGAAATTTGAACTTTGATTTCTGCCTTTATACTATTTTTCACGCATACAGGGTTTCTTCGGTTTTCCCCATGGGTGTAGAGTTTGGGGCCAGTACAGCCTGCGATGGACTGCCGGCCGTAGTGTGGGGTATAAAAATAATTCAGCAAAAACCAGCAGGGTTATTAGGGATTTCACCATTCATTGTTTCCACTTAAGTCAGAGGAGCTGGCATTAAATTTATTAAAAAATTATAGTCACAATTGAACGGCATTGATATGATGAGGTTGGAAGCATCATGATCTGCTCACAGTGGAAACAAGGTGACACGCTGGGAAAAGCCTTCTTGCTTTAAAATCCTAGACTTTTTGCAAAAATTCTGGATTTTGTTTTGCTAAACGTCAGCTTTATTAGCATTCCCTTACACTTAATTAAATCTTTATTAACGGGGATGCCCTTGGCTTTTTGCAACCTGGGTACGGGCTGAGGTCCCGGGATGCTGGGTTCCCATCTCCGCCGTTGGATGTTATTCAGGTCGAGCAGATCAGGATTTAGGGCATTTTTGGGGATTGATTAGGGCATTTTGGGGGATTCACGGCTTGTCATTAATGTTGTCTCATTTATGACCCTCTGGCAGCTGCTCCATGCAACCTGGAGTGCCCAGGACACCATGTATCTTGCTGGTTTGCATCGCCCGCGGTGGAGCATCTTGAAGGAGGCGTTTCCTCCGTTCCCTTTCGCGTCGGGAGGACTTCAAAGGCCTCCGATGAACTTCAAAGGACGCCTTTTGAAGTCACTAAAAGTGTGCGCCGGCTCAAAAAGACTTATCTCCCTCTGCAAGGGTGTTCAGGGAAATGTCCCTGGTGGGGTTGGCTCTTGGTGCTCTTCACGATGGGGACAAAAATGGCGTCTTTTGTGCAGGAGCTGCACAAGCCCCTATTTTTGTCCCACATGCATGCAGCAGCCAAGACCTCAGCCCTGATCCACTCCAAGGATGAAAATCAGTCTACCAGAGCTCTTTTAGCACTGCCAGAGCCTTATTTATCTGCTCCTTTTCCTCCAGTCCTCATGTTTTGTTCACACGGTGAGCCCAGATGACAAAAGTCTCTCCCGCAGGAGGGAAAAAAGTCTTTATAGGGACGACGGATTGCTGCAAAACATGAGCTTTTCATAGCGTTGTCAGGAGAAATCCAATGCAGATCAAGTCCCGGGTCCTCGATGTGTATTTGGCATCAGCCCATGCATGCTCCTCCAAGGCACAAGCCCGTAGGGTTTTTTTGTTCTTGATCATAAATATCCTTAGTGATATTTCAGCTGCTGTTGCGGTGGAAGAGTTTTGGACTCAAGCGCCTTCTGAGCATTTAGCGTAGCCCAGATTAGGTCTCTAAACCTCTCAGCAGGACCTACGCTTGCCCGAGAAGTCAAGGGGCATCTTGACCTTTCACCCCTTTCACCAAGTTTTCCGTGTTTGGGGGTTTCTGCCTCGTTTTGCCCTGAAATCACCCAGTTGCTTCCGTATCTCTCCTCGGGCAATGGCCTTGGTGATGTCCAGGTTTCCAGAAATGGCACTTCCTATGCAACCTTCCCCCTATATCTCTGCCTGTTGGACCCATACTCCTGGCTGCGATGATGGATACAGGCTGTGAGGGCACAAAAATGCGAGTGTTGTTACTGCAAGGGGTTTGGGATGGAATTAAAACCAGGGCAAACAGTTCTCATGGATCTCCCGTAGGGCCTCACCACGCAAGGCATAGCTCTCTGCAGGTGACGTATAGCAGAAACGCATCCCCCAGGTGTGCCTCGGAGGTCTGAGGAGCTCTCTGGAGGTGGTGTGAATCATGGTAGATATATCAGATGTGCCCTGGGGATCTGAGGAGCTCTCTGGAGGTGGCGCGTATTTAGAGGTGCATATATCAGATGTACATTCGAATCTGAGCAGCTCAGCAGATCAAGGTGTGTATATATGTATATACACTAGACATATATCAGCAATCTGAGAAGCTCTGTACCAGGTTATGTATATCAAAGTAGATATATCAGATGTATACTGAAGATCTGAGGAGCTCCCTAGAGGTGATGTGTATCAAGGGACAGGTATCAGATATATATCGGAGATCTGAGGAGCTCCCTAGAGGTGATGTATATCATGCTAGATGTATCAGATATATAATGGACGTTTGAGGAGCTCCAGTCAGGTGACATATATCAGAGATGTGTATGTCAGATGTACATTGGCGAGGAGCTCTCTAGAGGTGATTTATATCAGGATAGATATATCAGATGTATACTGAAGATCTGGGGAGCTCGACAGAGATTATGTGTATCAAGGGACATATATCAGACATATATTGGAGATCTGAGGAGCTCTCTACCAGGTGATATATATCAAGGTAGATATATCAGACATATATCGGAGATCTCGGGTCACGTTTATCACCTAACATAGAGGTAATATCTGGAGGTGATGTATATCGCAGGACATTTATCAGACATATATTGGAGATCTGAGGAGCTCTCTACCAGGTGATATATATCAAGGTAGATATATCAGACATATATTGGAGATCTGAGGAGCTCTCTACCAGGTGATATATATCAAGGTAGATATATCAGACATATATCGGAGATCTCGGGTCACGTTTATCACCTAACATAGAGGTAATATCTGGAGGTGATGTATATCGCAGGACATTTATCAGACATATATTAGAGATCTGAGGGGCTCGCTAGAGATGGTGTATATTCAGAGATCTGGGGAATTTTATCTCTTTTATTCCTTTTTTTTGCAGTCAAACTCGAAACACCCCTGTGGCTGTGCTGCTCCTTGCTCAGCCCATCTTCATTTTTCCACTGGATCTGCTTAGGTGGGACTAGAAATCCCAACCTCAGCACCCGTAAAGGCCAGATCCTTGGTAGATGCAGCATCATCTCTAACATCTGTGTGGACTTTTGCTTATTGAATAACAGCTGGGAGCTCCCCTGTTTTTGAGTTAATGGCTCTTCCCTAGTTTGCGCCCTCTGAGCCAGAGTGTAAAAGCACATTTACACTCAAGTGAAGATTATAATTAACCAGGGGGATGGCGACAGCCAGCGCGAAATGGGGGCACGGCCAACGGCAGTGCGGTTTCATTGCTTTTTCCCTTTTTTCTCCTTTTCAGACCCGGATTGTACCGCTAACCCTCAGTGAGATCCCGTGCCGGGGATTCGCCACCCTCCAGGAGCCGAAAAGGACGGGACGGGACTGCGTCGCCCCTCATCCTTTGCGGATAGACCGGCAACGAGCACGCCTTCGTTTTCTGGACACATCTCGGTTCGACCTCTAAAAATCTGATTTGTTTTTTGTCCTTCCTTGGGGATGTTCAACCCTGCCCGGGCAAAACCCGGGGGGTCTGATCTAGCTCAGCCATGAGCCCTGCTTTCACCTCCAAGGGGATATTCCCACCTAACTTTTCCTTGATTCCTCCTATTTTCCCCACTATCCTGCAAAAAAAAGTGCATTAAGAGCGGACTTGCCCACCACGGCTTTGCTGACGCCGCCGAAAGACCTTCCCTAGTGCAGAAAGCTTCATCCCCTGCTTAATATTTCGCCTTCTCGTTTCACCATTTTCTCTCAATATTCAAATATTTCATCCTTTGCTTTCCCAGGTTGTGATCCCTACCCAGAAAATCTTGTTTTCGGGGCGGCGGGAGGACGCTTGCAGGGCAGCGGCTCCCCGAGCACCCCCCAAACGGTAAGGCTGCTTTGCTTTATATTAATTAGGCAATTATATATATTAATGGTGTAATTATATATATTAATTGAGTGGGATGTGGTGAGTCATGACCTCGGTGGGGCTTTATTTGGGGGAATTTCTGCTCTTTTCTGGTACACCCAAATTATATCACCCCTTCCCTAAATGCAGTGAGCTGTGTGTTTAGCAAAAACACACTTTTTTGCTGGGTTTTCTTTTGTTTTTTAGAAATCGGGCTGTGCAGAGAGTCTTGATTTAAAGCTCAAGTGTTGATAACATGTTGTTAAGAGCCCTACAAGCCGTAGCCAACCTGGAGGAAAACACAGACATGTTTTTGTAAAAATACCCTGAAATATGGGCTGTTATCACTGCAAAATTTTGGCACGTCAGTAGGATGTGGAGAAATGGTCACCAACTAAAAATAACTGAAACGTGGAGCTTAAAATAAGATGTTCATGAAACCAAGGGTCTCGCAGTCCTTTAGTCAACCCTGATCGCTAAAATTAGGGCTTGACAGAGTGACAAATGTGCTTGATCTGTGCCAAAACTGTAGGCACCCGGCAGGTGACAAAATAAATAAAACCCCGTTGGCTGCAACTTTCCTCGTAAAAGAGCAAAGAGAAATCTTTGGTCACTGCAAATGGAGGTGCTGCCTTCAATTTGTACAAATATCCTGAAAAAGTGCCTGATTTCTTCCTAAACCAGTGATATTTAGGGTGGGGGCATCTCAGGGGAAAACCCAAAAGCTTCATTCGGTCCACGGCGCAGCAGAGCACCTTTTCTTTGAGTCTTTTCTTTTGAGTCTTGCCTCCTCTGAAAGTCCCTTTTAATAAACAGCAGCCAATAATGGCAGGATTATTTCCCCCAGGCTGCCCTTTCAGCCCTGATTCTTGCCGGTGACCTTCCCTTGGCCAAAAAAACCCCAGGATTAAGGATGTGATGAAGCAGCTGAATTTCTTATTAGTCCGGTTTTGCCCCCTTTCTAATAAAGGTACAGGTTGGGTTCACTTTGAAATGACTTCTGTGGTGGGTTTGTGGGGACTTGGGGGTCGCCACAAGGACCTCTTTTTGGGGAGATCCTCCCTGCCTTGATGCCCTCTTTCCAATCAGGATTTTGATGTGAGCTGCCCGGAGCTTGCATGGGAGGGCTCGGTGCCCTGCGATGTACTTTGGGCACATTGGGCTGTTCCCCTTGGAGGAAACTGAGTCCGTGGAGGACACAAGTGCAACCTGGCCTGAGAAGCATCTCCATCAAGACCAAACCCAACCTATTCAGCAAACGGTGCCAACGTGGTCCAGACACATCCCACTAAAGGCATGGAAAGACACGTCCACCAAATCACCTTCTGGAACAGCTGGCATTGCTCTAAGTGGTTAATGATAGAAATGGCCTATCCTGAAGAAGAGTCTGTGGAGGACACAAGTGCAACCTGGCCTGAGAAGCATCTCCATCAAGACCAAACCCAACCTATTCAGCAAACTGTGCCAACGTGGTCCAGACACATCCCACTAAAGGCATGGAAAGACACGTCCACCAAATCACCTTCTGGAACAGCTGGCATTGCTCTAAGTGGTTAATGATAGAAATGGCCTATCCTGAAGAAGTCTTCTGAGAAATAACTCGGTTCCCTTGGCCTTTTCCACCTTGTACGTGGGTCCCCCCATTTTCCGGGCACAAAACCATTTCAGGTTTCCTCCTCCTGAAGCCCATACGTCCACAGAGATGCACCTCCGAGGCCAGGTTGTACCTTTTGTCACTGTGCAGAAAAAAGTTGCAAAAAAATTTGGCACATCTGTCTCACACCGTAAACACTTTCCAGTCCTTTTTTGTCCCCAATTTCCTCACTGTGTTGAGTTCAGACCAGGCTGAACATCTCTTAGGGTCTACCATTCAGAGTGAATGGAGAAGACAGTGTAATAAAGTGTAATTAAAGGAGTTCAAAACTATTTGTAACTCCCTAGCTAGCTGCAGCTTGTATAAATCGCCACATCACATCTCAAACCCCTCTTTTGTCATTGAGGCTGGAAATATGGCAAAAAAATTGCTTTTGAATGGGCAAACGAAAGATGTTTAAATTGAGGCAATTAATCTAGCGGCTCACATCGCAATCTTTGGTGTCTTGGCTCAGGGCTTGGACGGGGACAACTCTCTGCCGATACCGGGAAGCCTGGCATGCCTCAAGGAAAACCTTATTTTTATCTTCTGGTTTGTAGAGTCATTTCTTATTGGGAATTTTGCATTTTAAAAGGAAATTCGGGGGGGGGGGGGGGGGGGGGGTAAGTGCACCGGCGCGTGCTAGGAG